AAGGATCATACTCGTTGGATAGTTTTTATAGTATTTAAAAAAACAGAAAACCAATTCACGAAACTCTATTGAAGTTGGTTAATAGATATAAATAACTGATACAACTGTGAGTCTGTTTAATATTTTTATTTACGAGTGCTGAAAATAAAAAAAAAAAATACCTATTCACATTTTTAAAATAAAACAATCACACCTATGCACATTTTTGGTTTTATCCTATATACAACGTGTAACATTATGAGGAAGTATTTTGAAAAAAAAAGAAGAATCCATTAAAAAGCACCTTACTAGATGGCGACTCTAACAAAACTTGATTTATGCAGGAAACGAATGGACCAAAGATATAGTAATTTCCGTTCCTTTTAACTAACATATCAAAAAAACTGAAATTCGTAACGTTCGAAACTTATATATCAATACGAAAAGCACATAAAGAATATGAGTTGTTTATTGAGTTTTGAAAATTAATTTACTTTTATACATGAAAGAAAACCGGAAGGGTTGTCATAGAGAAATCAAGAAAGTACCGTAGCGACATCTAGTTTGATTTCGTGAACTAATCTTTTTTTTTTAAAATACTTCCTCATTCCTGAAAGTAGTTTGTTTAAAATGAGTATGATTCGATTTCAACAACTTCTAATAAAGGTATTTTTTTGCTAAATTTAATTGTTACACATTGTATATACTTTAAGAAGTTATTACTTAATCTAAACTTAAGTGTTTACTTTTATTTTAGAAAGATTACTGAAAATAACCAACAATCCTATTTTTATTTGATAGATTTTTTACAATTTTCTAGATATTTATACATCTCGGGCGGTGAATGATTATGCTTGTTGTTACATGCCACAACTTCATTAAATACGGTGTAGAGAAAAGCACGACAACCTTTATTATTATGAGTACCGCACAGCCATCTTGTTTTCATTCCGTTTGCAGTGGTAGTCTGTTTCAGGAACTTGTAACCATCCAGAAGAATAAACTTGGCTCCTCGCTGAGAAACTCCAAATTCTACTCGATATCTGATATCTAAAATAAAAATAATATATTGTAACACATCCCCACTGCTGGGGCTCAGATCTTCCCTATGGATGGAATCGAAACAAATCTAATAGAGAGAATGGGCCATGACCCAGCCGGCTCCATTGCAGATTGGTGGGTAACGACTATAGCCGGGAACGTACCTTCCGAAGCGCGGAGGAGCTCGAAATACTGAATTTGTTGAGTTTGCTCACCCATCCTATGACTGGCCTTTACGAATGTACCTAAACAACCGTATTGCAGACTGAGCGCGCTACTGCACCATCGAGCTCTTTTGTTAGACATGAATTCTAACAATTAAAACGCATTATTTTTCTTTAACAACATATAGGTGTTTTGATATAAGCAACTATTATATTCCCATTCACACAAGTAGCTCCCACGTAAAGGATAAGCGCCACGGCCCGCGATCGTGTTTGTTAAGCAACTTTCGCGAGGTTCGGTCGCAGGATGGGTGACCAAAAAATATATTATGTTGAGCTACTCTGTGCTTCGGAAGGTACGTTAAACTGTTGGTCCCGGTTGCATTTGCAGTCGTTCATACCCTATAATCCGCATTAGGGCAGTGACACGGCCCATGCCCTTAATCTCCTATAAGGAAGGCCTCCGCAATGGGGACGTAAATGGGTTGATGATGTTGATGATGATGATAATGAATAATGAAATAATTCGTTTTTATTTACTAATTAATAAGCTTGTTTGTTATAATAAATAAGTATATCATCAATAATGGGAATGTAGTATGAGAAAAGCATAGAAATATTATGCGTTCTATAAAAACTGATGGAATTAGCATTTTTTATCTATACCTTTTTAAATAGTTATAAATAAATCGAATTTCAAGATTCATCATTTATTATATTAATTTTGTACATCTTGTATATCACTTAATAAATAGGTATATATCTTATATGTCAATAAATACGTTGGTAAAAAATAAACAAATAATTTCTTATGCAGTACTATTTAATTAAAATCAAAGGTTTTCAGATATTTTCCATTTGCTGATGTCAAAATAAGTAAATACCATTATTTGAAGCATTTGTACGCAATGTAAGATTAGAGAATTAAGAGAACCGCGCATTTAACTCAACTTATCCTACCATATTATAAAGATATTTATTACTTTTATGTCTTTGATAATACTATTTCTATATGCAACTTGTTTGTTACATCTGAAATGTTATGCTAATTCAAGTTATTGTTGACTCGCAATTGACTCTGAAGCATAACATTAAATGCAAATGCTTAAGATGAGGGAGCTGCGTAATTAAGAAATGCGGTATGTTTTTCAAAAATATATTATTTAAAATGGGATATTCCTAGATCTAATACAGTAATTTTCATTGTTTTGATTATGTAATTATGTTATTTTATAATATTAAATAAAATGTAAAAGCCAGTACAATATTATAATATTACTATTATTACTTACCATGGATTACAAATCACTTTTATAAGGCTTAGCTCGACTACACTTAACCACTGAATTTAATACATAATCATCACAACACATATGTACATCTGTTACACAAAAACACTAAATTTAGTTATTAATACTGTTAAACTACGTTCTCAATTCTTCAGATACACTAATATACAATTTATAGGATTAAAATAATATTCCGCAAATTGAATGTAACATCAAAATAACATTTAAATTAAGACCAAATTACATTTTTTAGGTAATTTTAGGTTGTTGTACCGAATAGATACCATTATGATATACAAAATACAATTCACTTGATTGTTTTTTTACTAATTTCTATGAGGGTATTAATTAGTTTGCTACACAGTGGCCGGTTTATAATAAGCAGACGGAGCTACCCTTCCTCCCGCAACCATAGTATTACAAGGCGACAAAGGGGAAATTGTTTAATAACTACGTGTCCTTGAATTTTCCATTCCTTTGCAAAGCTCGGCGTAATAACAATACTGGCACAAACAAACGAATTTATTCGAACTATTTTTTTACTTGTGTGTTTCATTTTTAGTTTGATTGAGAAAGTAGTGTTCTTTTAATTATTTATTTTTTACTAGAAATATCAGTAACAGTATTATGTCACTACTGAAAAATGACTAAAAGTCATGGAAGAAATTTGGAACCTGTATCATCATCATCAGCCGTACGTAAACTAGAATTCAATTAAATAACTTTTAAAAATGTTTAAATTTTTTTATATAAAACACAAGGAATCTTTCCCCGACCTCTAATTATTGAACATAGAAACTTTTTACGAAAACATTGAATATAGCGTATTTATTTTATGATCCAAGGGCGCTGTTTTTCAATCATACTGCTGTAACTTTGGATGGTTGTGCTCATTGGCGCGTTTGGTCATTTTGCCGTTGATTGTGTAGATGACTGCTTTACAACCTCTGCGTGCGCTGGCACAAAACCAACGAGTTTTGTCACCGACAGTACGTTGCTTGAAGAACTTGTAACCAGAGGAGATGATTACTTTGGTATCTCGTTTGGATGTCTTGAAATATATTCCTATAATATTATTTTATATTTATGAAACAAATGTGAATTTTTATTCCTTCTATTTAATATTTAGCCTAGAATACTTACAAAATGTACAAATGGTATGGTAATTTAAGGGTGATTCCTTAGAAATTTCCTGACGTCAAATCGATAGCACCATTTTTCCTCATTGAGTATAAATTACAAATTTTAATTTTTTTTGCATGGCAATAAAATATAACTCATAAAACTATGAAGTAAATTTTTTACCCTTATTTGGATTGCTTACATATATTTTTCATCGAATTTGGCTGTAATAATAGAATTCAATGTTACCAAATCAGCTCGAGTATTTCTACAACAGTGTTACCAAGTTTAATCGACCCTAGAAAATAAAGATAATAAGTTCTTATAATACGAGGACCAAAATTAGTAAATGGTGTAAACTATAGGCTACTAGAAGCGAAAACGTCAAATTGAGACGTGTTGTAATTCAACACGGATATTGGTTTAAACCTGATACTAAAGTATGTCTTCGTTTTATAATAAGACTGATTAACGTGTAACTAAAATTTTATGAAGTGTATATTAATACAATTATAATAGAAAAAATGGTAATGGTAGTCTAATAATTAAATATATATATATTTATTTTAAATAGCTTATAATTTTTATAGATTGACACAAAAAAATATACATTTTAGGTTTGAACCGATGAAGCTAATTTTTGGAAATAAATTTAAAATTCTTAAGTAACTATATTGGACTTTGATTGCTAAATATATGTACTTACAATCATTCTCCTGCGTTGCTTATACCTGGAACAAAAATAAAATAACCGTAATAAAAAAAATATTCAGAAATATTTTCAACACTTAATTAAACCATGGTGCCATCATATGTTAGTGTTATGAATACCTTATAGGTAGACGAGTTTGGTAATTTACTATCTTACATAAAATACTCGTAAGTAAGCAACAACAAAATATTTCTGAAAAACAAACAAGTTTTTTTTTGCTTTATAATTAAAAACAAAATTTAAACTTATTTTATTTATACCCGCTAAAACGCTGTCCGCAAAATTCATGACGTCATCTCAATATGTACACAGAATATGCACAAAACAAACGTGAACAGTTTTTACACAGAATAAAAATGTCAGTCTATCAGGCGAGAACAGTGCCATCTAATGATTTCTCTACAAAATAAAAAGAATCTTACTCTGTAGATGGCGCTGTTCTTGAAGTAATAAAAAGGCAGCTAGTTATTTACAACTAAACTGAAACATGCATTAAAAGTAGTAACGTTTCTGGCAATATGTCGTCACGTCACTCGAGTGAAGACCGTGGAGTAATAAAAGACCAGTAGAGAAACCGCATAAGGCCTTACCAAATTCGTTGAAAAAGGCTCATGATGGTCATGATCCTTCGATTGCGATATTTGCTTAACAACCTCATTGCAAACCCTGTGCTATAGAGTGGCTCATTCCGTATTAGCTCATTCTATGATAGTTTAATTTCCAAGTATCTTTGGATAGCATCGGATAATGTGTATAAGCTGGCGCGACATTTATGAGTGTTGTAGCCACTACACCTCCAACGTACGGTGGATTTGTTACTGCCATGTCAGAAGAACCATGTAGGAGCCTTGCATACTTCACTTCGTGCAGACCACACCTGGAATAGAATGTAAACACTTGTAAGCGAGATTTTACTTTTTGGAGAAGAAAATCGTGCGTCACGAAATGGTCGGATTTCGGTTAAAATTAGGTCAACCGAAAAACTTATATGTAGATATTTTTCCGAGACCAGTTATAATTTTTTGAAAAGATTTCCAACTTTATATGTTTTTGAGTCTGAATTTTGCAAGTGATGTTATCTTATATTTAATAAAAAAAGGTTTTTTTTTGTATGTATGTTCGGATGCACGATAAATTTAATGTCATGAATTAAGTTAAAAAGGACGACATAATTTTAAGTATTTATTACATTTAAGACACTAAGTAAAATATTTTTAGAAACAACAAAACGTTCTCTACGATATAACATTAAAATGTATCTTATCTATATAACATAAAACACAAGCTCGAAGTATATAATTTCTATTATTTATATCATAATTAATTCTAGTAACTAAACTTTAATAATTATAAAAAAAATGTTTATATTAAGTATCATATATTATTTATTACAACACGTAATAGGAAATCTGTTATTTATAGTTATAAATATTTCCTTAAAGGCTAAAAAAATTAAGCAAATTAAATTAGAACTAGATTTCGTTGATTAGGTAGCAAGTTATAAAAGTCACGTAGCATAAAAAATAATTTAGTAACAGTTAATTCCTATTAGTATTGGCGTAGGCGTGTGCTAAGCGGCTCCATGCCTAAGACATCGCACTAAATGGGGCCACACAATAACGCGAAAGGCGGTTTTGGGCCCCTTCAAATATTACTCTCCTTCTTGGCGCAAGTAAGTATAACATAGTAAAACCACGAAACTCTTAAAGATAAATTACCTATACATATATGAAAATTAATCCATACCTGAAGACTAATTGTTTAATTTTAAAATCAAAATGTGATAGCGATTGCATTCGTGACGTTTTCTTGTAAAATTTTGAATGAACGATATCGCTTATTTATCTGATATTATAATATAATACAGAATTATTATAATTTGATAAATTTTGCATTCAGAATACTATACTGGAAATATTCTTAATGAAAATTGCTTAAAAAATCCAAGGACAAAGTGATTTTTTTAAGTATTTTTCCTTAAGAATGTAATTCTTTTTAAGGCAAACATTAGATGTAAATATAAATTTAAATTACCAAGTTTTTATTCTCTTGATTATTCAAATTATTCAAATCATCATTTGTTCCAAAAGCTATCGCTACTTAAAAAGTTATATAATAAAATATCTGCTACCACAATCACTATACTATTCCAATTTTTTCCTCGTGAACTAACAATAATAGAATAGCCCCTCAGGCTTATGCATATTTTCTTAACATATCATGAAACAAAAGGGGTTTGTTGATGCCACTACGCAGATAATATTTATTGCAATTCGAATATCAGATAATATATCTACTTTAACTAATTTACAGTCGATGTATTAATCATATTTTATATATTCGAATAAACATATCGATGTCCTAGTGATGAAAAATTTAATAAATAAATCGATGAATAGATTATATCTACTAATAGATATGCGCCTTAAGTATTGTTAAAATACCGGAGACATGGACCAGTTATTAACAAAGCTTTCATAATACAATTTTGGTTACTACCACAAACTATGTCTGTCTGTAGAAACTATATCTTATGCGAAAATCATATATCGCTCACTGAAATAATGGTTTTTGAGTTGTGCCACTGTAGTATTCAGTGAGCGACATAGAAGGCGTCATACATTTGGTCAATACTTGGGACGGGGCTAATGTAATAATATCCGTTTTCACTAAACTAGGAGTCACTCATAGATAAGAGTATATATTTATATTTAGGAATCGCCTAAGGTGAAAATGCATTTCACTAATGACTAGAAACTACCTAACGAATGATAATTAAGTAATGAATTTCCATTTTGCACTTCCATAATATGGAAGATTACAAATGTGTCAAAATATAAAAGAAAAAAATAAATATTTGAAATTACACTAAGATTAGTGTAAAATCCCCTAAGAAGATGCTTAGGTGATTCTGGAGATTAGGCGTTACCTAATTAAGCTATCCCATGCTTTAAGTTAGTGAAAACGGGTGTTAGTCCCATACTAGCTGGGAACAAGGTCGTTCTTGGATTTGTAAATTTTATTTGTCTTGAATGTGAATACCCATTTGTAAACCTAAATCTAAATTTTAACATATTTGCCGTCTTGAGTGACGATGTAGTTTGGGGGGCCATGGTTGTGGTTTAAGTCGTAATGTACCAACTTTCCACCGTAGTCGAATCGGAGTTTGGCCGGACATTTGGTGGAGAATTTCTTGCTGCAATTCCAATAGCGTCGATCGCAGGTGGTCTGCGCGAATGTGTAGCTCCTCAACATCAAGAGCGGTTTTTTATGTTTCGGCGAGTGAATGTACTCGAACGAGAAACCTGCGAATATTTCACTCGTTAGATCTTAACATAGGTACAATAAATGATCATCTATTGTGCTGGATTTACAAGAAGCAGGTGAAAAATTTCGTGGAAAAAAAACAATTGATACTACCGATTAAGTCACGAATAAGAACTAATAAAAATACTGGTATATAATTATTTAATGTTATTAGATTTAAAAAATGGTATACAAATGAGAGTAATCAAAATAACATTTCAATTGAATTATTAAAAGATACTAAACAATCTCTAATCGTATGAATCTCAAAAGGTCTGCAACTTTCTACACACAAGAATATTATATTATCCTAAAAAAGACAGGTTAGGCTATATACCAAAGGTATTACAATCAAGATTCATCAGTCTAAAACAGAGAAACCTGCTTAAATGGGTTCTGGGTATTTGAGAAGCTTCTGTTTTGAAATATCTCTGTTACTGTATATGGGTTTGATATTAACCTCTATAATTTGAACTTTGTAACTCAGTAACTCGTAAAAGTTGGACAATTGATCGGCTTAGACGACTTGTCTCTCTGGTTCGTAATCATTGATCATCAAATAGTGAGATAATATATAAACAATAGTTTCATATTAATCTGCCTATTGTTGAAACTAGGTGATGAAAAAACACTTCAACCAAAAGAAAAAAGGTTCTCTGAGATCCCAGGTAAACAAGTTTCACTGTAATTCAATATAAAATATAGCGTAAGGCAAACATAAAGGAGTTCATATAATTACGAGTAAAATTAAGGTAAGTTCGCAAAATAATAAATTGTAAAGACCATTTCACGACAACGTAACAACGCGTCACTATACTATGTAGGATGTTCATCTGAGGCTCGATGTCATGTTAACTGTTTAAAACTAGGACAAGAAATACAAAATCCCCGGATTTCTTCAGACGTAATGTGATATTGAAAAGACGCGTTAAGAAAACACTATTCATAAGTCATAATTATGTTCACCTCGGTATAATATATCGTACCTTTTTTGTATCGTAGGTGATGTTAGTTACCAAAATGAGATCTATAGCATTGAAATTCACACAGTGTATTTAGCGCCCTTATTAAGTTTTAAATGCATACCCCATTAATAGGTGGATTAAGACAATTTGAAAAGAGGAGGATGGGTATGAGTATTGTTGCATTTGATGATGGCACTTCCAATTGTATATACGGCAGCATTGCAGCCGGCATATCTGCATCTCCATCTCGTTCTACAGTCAACCTCGATATGTCTAGCGAGCTTGTAACCCGATAAGATGATCATTTTGGCACCACGCTGTGTAGTTGTGAAGATAGGTCCTACGAAGTGTTACAAATAATCCTTATTTTTATATAAAATATATGACACTAATAATACAAACCGATTTTGCTATATAAAATAGCAAATAAAAATCAAATACACATATTATTACTTTCTGGTAGGTATATCATTATTGATATAAAATTAAAAATTAAATTTAAAAGTATGTAAGTTGGAATCTAACAAACTTAAACAAATAGAGCAGATGACCTATTTTGGCCATTTTAAGAGATATGAGGAAGAGAAGTGTGCTGTTAACGATATTAGTTATGCAATAATGCAACAACATAAAATCATCAGTGGCCTCAGTGGCTTAGCGGGTCCTCTGTCTTATTATACAAAGGATATTAGAACACAAATGTATAAATGATACCATAACCCTATTCTAAGACAATATATTTCATATAATCTAGCTATAATACGTTGTTGAAGTAAAGCAAAATTACTTATACGAGCAACATACTTAAACAATTTTTATTAATTATAATTATGGTAAAGCTTTAATGTAATGGCACTGAAATGACATAATGTAATTATATTGGATAACGTATTTTGTTCTGAATTAAGTATTAATTAGTTATTACTACATATAATTGAAATTAAGCGGGAATTATTAATAGAAATTCAGTAGAAAGAATAGGATCCATAGAAGTGTATGTTAATGGCATACCCACTTCGCTTCGCTTTCGACCTTTACTGATTTTTCCGTTTCTGACAGGGTCCATAGAAGTGTATGTTAACATATTGGCATACCTACTTCGCTTTGCTTTCGAGCTTACTGTTTTTTTATTTATTTCAGTTTCTGATAATTCTAAAAATATCGTTGTTTTCTAATTATTCCACTGTAACAATATTTTAGTTGTCAAATTTTAAAACAAAAATACTCATGGCGTTTCTCCAGACGTTTAGCGAATACTGAGTAACAAATAGTATAAGAACATACTCACCCTGTTCACAGACGGTTAATAATATTATCCAGCAAAATTACATTGTCAAATAAATTTTTACACAATATTATCTAATCCTACCCTAATTTAATCTGTCTACTACAAATATAGCAGCAATTACAAAATACGAGTATATTCTATTTTAAGATCATCAGACATTTGTCATATATATGGAATATTTACAATAATGAAATAAAAACTAAGTCAGATATCAGAGTGATAGTGTATGTTGTTGCATTTGACGATGGTGCTATCGTAAATGGTGTATACTACGGCTTTGCATCCCTTATGGTGGTGAGTGGCGCAGTACCATCGAGTTTTAAAGCCAGACTTGAGGTGACGAAAAAACTTGTAACCGTTAATGCAAATTACTGTTGCTCCTCTGGGTGTTTTCTGAAAGACTGCCCCTGAAACATCAAATGATTCTTAATTTATAGCATTAACGTAGGTTAATGGAAAACAGTACACTATTGAGGTTATAACCGTGGAGCAGATCGAAGTAATAGTAGGTAATAAAAAAAAGCGTCTCCCTGATCCGATCTTTTTACGTTTTATGTATTTTTTTAATAAAATATGTTTATGTATTAAGTACACGTATGTTTTTTTTTGTTTTAATTATGGTATTTATACGTAGTTTCAGGTCACTCACCAACAGCCACTGACTTCTGTCTTCTGTGAGGGGCTGTTGGCTGATATTCTTATCAATATAGGTGCAAATTATGTTGTTAAGGTACTGACAGACATGCTCATATATCGACACTCGTTTGATTTTCGAGCATGCTTCCTGAGGTGCGGTTGATAAGGCGTGTGCTTTGAGCACGTATGAATAGGTTTGCTTATGAGCATGTTTATTTTCATTAGCTTTTTGTAACTTATTATCGAAGTCATGGAACACAAGTTCGTGACCATGCAAAATAAGCATTTGTGTACAGTGAAAGAGCATGCTTCACTAATGATTATAAACTAATGATTGTTGTTATATACCTAATGTTTTATTGTGTTTGTTCGTCAATATATTTTTTTTCTTTCTAATCTTTAAAAGCATACGATTTAATGTATTCATAAATTTTAATTATTATGTGTAATCTTCAAGACAAAGTGAAAGTTCCTAAAACTAATAGCTTTTTGTTGATCAAGATTACATTTTTAAGTATGGTGATACTTTTGACAGTTAATTGAATAGGTCATTTTATCATTTGAATAGTAACTATTCATTGAAGGGTCAACGGGAAATATCCATAAAAACAAACATTTTAAAATCTTTATTACTTATTTCGATTTGAATTGCTGTCAATTGAAACAGTTTTAAAAATGTCGAAGTTCGTTATCAGAAATTTAATATTCACTAATGTATTAATCACAAATAATATAATAACTATGAAAGATAAGTATTGCGTTGTATTTAAAAATAAACAGAACTTAAAAACTCTAGCATGTGTCGGATCATACTCGTATAATCCCACAAGTGCTAGAAAGGAAAGATACTAAAAGGGAAAGAACATAGCGCCGTCTATCTAAAAAGAGTCTCCTGGCTGCATCAGTCTATTTTAATGAGATAAATTCTTTTCATGCAGTTTTCACCAATGTACCAAATAGTTCCGCAAAGAAGTAGATTAGGTCCTACGATATTCCTGGTCCACATAAACAGTCTTTGCAAAATTAAATCATCCAGTGACCACCAACGTAGGTGTCGCGAGTGGACCGCAGGCGTGTGCTGTCTGTATCAAACAGGGTAAATTTCCGGAAATTTATGTACCGCCGGTCTTCCACTCGTTGCGTGCGCGACATCAATTGGTTGACCAGGCGGTGTTCAGAGATATTATTACTATGTTGGAAAATGTAGATTTGAACTTCACTCGAAATATAAAATATCCAAGAGCTTTAAAGATGATGTTCTGAGTAAAATTAAGATCAGCAATATACAACCTTTGGAGTTGATCTCTTCTTTTCGTGTTGATGAACATGAATGAGATTCGCCTTGGCAATTATGTTTTGAACAGTAATGATAGAAGCCTTGCACCCTCTAAAGAAGTGGGTGCACCGCCATCGTATTCTACCATTATACATTTGGTGCTTCGTAAACGATTGGCCATTTACTTTTATTATTTCTCTTCCTTTTTGTGTGGTCTGTGGCACGATTTTTTGACCTAAAATTTCAAAACTGGATTATTTTGACGAAATTAAGAAGTTTTTGTTACATAAGATAACACATAATATTCAGCAAAGCAAGATGGCGTCAGATGGCAACGCTTAAAATATCATTTATGTCACAATTTCATGAAGTTTATTTCACGGCAGTATCAACTTCAAATCGATTTAATCGGCGTCAAAATGAAGTTCGACGAACATGTGCTGCTGTATTTACAAAATGCTTTGGTGGAATACGCAAGCTTCGCTATCTGTCAATACCAATACCTGTTTAACCTATTTGGTGCAGTCTTTCTTTCAAGAAATACAAAATTATTTTGTTCTCGTTTATTACTAACAGACCTTCTGTGCCATTTATGTATAGTTATATATTTATTCATATATTTACAAATTATACCCATATTGAAAATTTTTAATTACGATCTATATAATTTTGTCTTGCATTGGCTATCATTCTTAAAATATCATTCTTTTGAAAGTCAACTACACAATCACTGTCGTGTTCTTTTATCTTCGTTATTTCATTATGTGAATCCAGTGTAATGTTGCCCTTACATCCATATTTAGTATAACATTTATAAAATGTATCCCTGTTTACGTAAACCTTCTTACGATGGTAGCGTCTACCTTCGTGCAGCAATGATATACCACCTCTTCGTGTTGTTATTAATTCAACTCGAGATGAACCTTTAATAAAAAAAATCTACTTTTAATATGTTCTATTTATTGTACTGATTCAAAAAGTCTAATATAACTTAGAGCCTGCTATAGAAATAGTGAAAGACTGTAAGAAATGTCATGTGTTTAAAGTGAATGAAAGGGAAATTAAGGAAAAAATATGTATGCAATTAAACGAACTCGCTTATGACCACTTTAATATTAGATTTTGAATGATAGTTTTTTTTTATATCCAGAGTAATGCGAAAAAAAATCTTAAGCTTCGGACATAAGACTATGATGGTAGTCTGCTGCGAGCTCAGAAGAATGTACAACTTGCGTGCCAGAAGTCACCATGATTTGGCAGGACTATTGTCGGGAAGAATTACGTGTTGCAATACTATTTTTCGTATGTCTCGATAGTTGTTTTCCGAAATAAGGTATTTATGTCCTTTCGTTTTCCGTCTTTCTTTGAATACGTCAATGCTCTTGATCCACACCGTCTATCCCGTAAAAAGTTGACGTGAAGTTTTATGAAGAAGGAAGAAAGGTCCACTACTGAGACACAGACCTACCCTCGATATAGAATCGCATCAAATCGAAAAGGGAGAAATAAAAAATATAATTAAATAAATATTATTATTATATTTGTTAAATACACACAATATTTTGTGTGCTTATGATAGAATACATAAATTAAATGTTAGAGTTTTTAAAAGTAATGGTTGTCCAATTAAGTCAAAAATACATTATCAGGTACTTGCTTAACTTAAATTGAATAAGCAGTTTAACAAGGATAAATATAAACATATCGCAAAGAAATAAGTTTCCAATGCATGTTGTAATTCATTTTTATTATGGAAAATAAATTTAAATGCATTGCATCGTAAGTTGTTATTTCAAGAATTTTCACTGTTAATTTTTCCTCTAAACTCCGCTATTGATGAAACTCGAGCTTTAGCTCAATGTTTTATTAGGTGGTATCACCAAAATTCAAGTTGCCCCCAATCTATTTCAGTGTCAGAATGCAGAATCCTTTATAATATTTAATTACAACAAACATCATTCAACCCTTGGGTGATTGTGAAGATTTATACATTTGATGATTTCATTAGTCCCAATAGTGAAGATGACGGCCTTGCATCCCTTACTGTGATGTGTCGAGCAGTACCAACGGGTTTTGTATGTACTCTGCCGATGCATGCTGAACCGATATCCATCCAATGACAACAAAAATCCACCCCGGGCTCGGGATGACACCATAAAAGTAGGACCTGCAAGCAAGCACGGGAAGATTAGGCGATCATATTCTTAGCTATGATGATGGTGGTATATATTCAAAAAACATTTTATTTCTGTACATTTATATATTATAATACTTTTTATGTATTTTTAATTAATTGTATTTGTTCATAAGCCTCTTTCCTTCCTCACCATATCACAGACTTAATTCTGTACTGTAAAAGCGTTGATAGGACAAATTACTGATACCGTGATGGTGAATTAATAATAAATTTATTTTCAACCAGTGTATAGCAAGCTATTTCGGAGCCTTGACCAAAAACTTATTGGATCATTCGTAGGTAGGTAGAGAGGACCAAGCACCACGAGCCACATTGAGATACATCTGTCGCCTTATCCAATTTCGTTAGTCTTTTCATAGACCAAATACGAAATCCTTTTAAGCGCCTCTTAACGGATGATTGTGTACATTATTACAAGATATAACTTCATTGGTCTCATTAACAGTATAGATGACGGCATTGCATCTCTTGTAACTGTGCGTGGCACAGTTCCAGCGTGTTTTTCTGCCGTTCTGTCGATGTCTGCAGAAGACGAAACCTCCAACGGATAGAAGCAGACCGCCACGTTTGGATGTTATGAACGTGAATTCTGGAAAATGTAATGAAATTTTAAGATTCTGATTTGGAAAGAATGAATGAAAGTTAAATCTTTAAGCTATTCCAATCCAATATTGTCATTAAATTTTAAATATACTACTAAAATGATGGGCAACAATTCGGTGTCTTTTCTAAAAACCTCAATGTCTTCCAAAATATCAAACACAGCTCATTGAAATAATTTCAGTTACAAATGAATTTATAATGAAATAAACTGACTGTACTGTCGTGTACTGTCAACATATTGTACATCAAGTACATACTGCAGCACATCAAACTTAAATATCAACGGTATACACAAATCATGGATAATATATTTAAAACGATATATGTATTTAATAGCTTTTTATTTCCTTTATTACTGCAAATGTCACAATATAAATACAGTATATGTATTCTTAAATCTTGTCCCACAAGATAAAGGAAAATTACTGACACCAAAATTATTGTTAGTAAAATTATTTTTAAAGTAAGAATTCTGGACTAAAAATAAATTAGAGAATTATAAGGTAATTTGTAAATATACGAGCCACTTTATAGACAGGAGTTAATAAGCAAGTGTTTTGCAATAAAGTGACTTTTTTTTCTTAACGTAAGACTCCGTTGGTTATGAATAGAACAGTATGCTTTGCATTTTCTTCTATAGTATGCCGTAGCAACCGTGACTCTATCACAGTGCATGCCGATGGCACCAACGCACGTTGCATGCATACGTTTTAGTTCAAACACTGACAGCTACAAGTTCCGTCTCCATCTTGACATTAATCAAGGCGATTGAGGTGACAAACTACATGAGGCAAACGAATAGGCCGACCAATGCTACGGGGACTTCGTGTGGAGCAGTCCCTGCTGGATCCCAGACTCTTCCCCTGAAGGTGAGAGAGCATGGAGGGCGTTTAGTAGAAGTGCCATTCGTGTTTTAGCCTTTGGGCTGGTACATGCAGATCGAGTGCCTGCCCCATTTCCCCCCATGGCGTCTACTAAATGGCAGAGATAGTGCATAAAGCAGCAAATGTTGCACGTAACAACGCTGACGGATCAACGAGTGTTGGTGTTATGGCGTTGCAATGGAGAGTTTAGATTGAGCGCGTGCGTCAATCATTGCATGGTTGCTAAGGCGTGTCAGAGGAAAATGGAACATAAATAGGAAAGCTCATGGGTGTAGGCGTTGCTAATAATAGACGTTATACAGAACCTGATAGGGGTAACATAAATT